CCCCCAAAAAAAAACCCAACCACCTCCTTTCCCAGAAAGGGAAATTCTTCATTTGTGATGAAAAATTTTAGAGGAAAATACTTAAGCACATAAGAACAGATAAAAGACGTAAAACTGTTTGGGTAAATACTACAAAAATTGCATACATTTAAACACAACTTAAACTACCACAGTCAGTCAGATCTGCTTAGACAGAACTCTCAACTCTGACAAATCTCCACTAATATTGGACTCTTCAAAAGATAAATCTATAGGCTGAATGTAAGGACTGAATCCAAGATATCTACATGTAAAAATATTCAGTCACAGTTATTCGCATGGCTGTCTGAAAGTACAGAGTTTTGAGGCTCTGGATTGCCTACTCTCTCTGATCATACCGCGATTTTAGGCTTCTGACTGCGCTTTGAGTTTTATCCAAATCAAATGTTCAAAGTAAATAGCACAAACATCCTGAGTGTCTGCATATTCCCATAAGAAGGAAAGAGAGCATGCTTCCACTGCCTGGATTTAAACTAGCAATTCCAAGCAGGTGTTTTTGCAAGAAAACAACAAAAAAGGTAAGCTGTGGGAAGCTCAGGATCAGAAAAAAAAATAGTACATCTACATCTGCATTTTCAATCAGTTGTTTTATGCTTACACCAGAAAATGGAGAACTTCAGGCAATGGTAGACAGCCAAAAAATCCCCAGAAAATAAACTACTGCTGTCATAGTCGTTAGAGATTTATGGGCTCATGACCCTAGAAAGTTAAGTGAAATTAGTTTCATAACATCGTCAATACTTAATCTAACCGTGCCCTCTACTGGCCTGAAAGGTACTTGTGTAAAGGTGCAAACTAAAGATGCTACTGCTCATACCATTACAGTCTTCAATTTAATTATCAAATAACAGTAAGAAGCATTCATAGGTATATCTCTACAGGCTACCTTCCAAAATACGGAAGTGTGTTTTAATATACTTTGTAACAGTTACATTATTACTTTATTAAACTTTTAGACTCACATGCTCTGAAGTGTTGCCAACATTAACCTACTCTATTTACATTGAATTTCCATGGTCTGGGGCACTTAAAGCAATTAGATTTCTTCAAAAACCAGCTTTACTGGTAAAGACTGCTTCCAATCAGGGGTGGTAACACTACTTTAGAAAAACAAAGTAATCTTTCTTTCTGCTTAGAAGATAAAACAGGCTATTATTTCCATTTTTTAATAATTTTACATTGCAATAACAACTTTGATTTTAGATTGTTTTAGCAAATTTAACACATCCATAATTCCACTCATCAGTAAAATGAGGCTCTGGGATAGTAAACAAACATTAAGCATATGGTGTGACAGTTTAAGACAAAAAGTCAAATTCAGACATATTGAAGTCAGAAGTGCATATAGTCTTGCACAATCCAAATTTAAATTGCTGCTTACCAAAAACATCCATCAGTACTTTTTGCATATCTTAGTCTTTTCCTTCTAAGTCCATTCTTCAAGTAGCAGCCAAGATTTAACTTACTCAATATATTAAAGAACACTTGCAAAGAACAAAGGTACTTTCTTCCTCCATCTAATCTTCAAGACAAAGATGTAAAAAAAGCTTGGAAAAGAAGATGAAGGAGGAATTACCCACAGTTCAAAGTATTCAGACTTTGATGGTGTGATAGGTTATGCTGACTACAGAACCAGTTATTATAACTTAAGAGGATAAAAAATAAGCATTGAGAGGAGTAAATTTTATTAATGCTATAGATCTGGGGTTTTCTCTTCTGTGAGCATCAGTGCTTTAATAGACATTAGGAGAAAAAAGCAAAAACTCTGTCCAAGATTCAAGAATATCACTGCTTCAAAGATGCAAAGTCAGCACATATTTCACAAGGCCCCATGGCAAAACTGGGGAAAGAGGAAAGGAAAGAAAAAAAAATGTTCTAAGATAAGACAAATCATAGAAAAGCCAAACTAAATGAAATTCAATTCCCCACTACAAATTAAACAGCAAAAGAGTAAAAAAGCCAAAACAAAAAAAAACACCCACAAAAAACCACCTCAATTTGAATTAGAGAATTTAAGAATATTTTTTCCTACCTGAAATCGGAATTCAAACCCAGTTTGAAAGTTCCCTCCTCTCATTTGTTTTTAGAAGCATGCTGATACAAAGGGTGTTCTTCTTGCCTCTTTACTTAAGCCCTAAATTTTAGAACCAAGTTTTAAAATAATTGTACCTGCTATGTTAAATACACATGAGATACAATAAAGCATGCCAGCCACCAAAAAAGACACTTTCTGTGCACTCTTATCAAAACTATATTCTTGTGTAAAACCACTTCTGAAGACTATTATTTGAACCCAGATGTGGCAATAGCCTTATATGTGGGAAAGCATACACATAAAATATTTTTATTACACATTGTTAAAAGTAAGACTCATTGGACTGACTAAATTAACAAACAAAGAACTGAAGCCAAATTCACTAAAGCTAGAAGGAAAATACATTTTAAATATTGAGCAATTAACCCTTGAAACAAACTTAAAATGGGAAGACTCCTTAGATCATGACAGGACACCTTTCTGGGATGACAGGACACCTGCCACACTAGGTTAGATGAAAAATCCATCTGACCTGACATACCCTCCTCCAGCAGCAGTCACTTAGGCTTGAAAGAAAGGTAAAGTTCCTCAAAATATTATTCCAGTGTTGGCAGTCAGTTGTTTAATGATGTAAGGCAGAATCTGTATCCAGACCATAGTGCTTATGACCATTGTGACATTAAAGCAGGAAATAATGAAAGCCTAGCATTAATACAGATTACAAGAAAATACCTAGTACAAATCTAACTTCTTAAGCTAAAATCTAAAACACTGATATGCCTAATATAAAAAAACCCCACAGTCCAAAACAATGGTGCTGACTGTAGGTACAGTGAAGGAGTAGGCTGCAGGTCCATAACAGGGCCTTGTACTGCAAAGCATCTCCTTGAATTCTGAATACTTTGGAACTGTGGAACTGTTAAATACACACAAGCGAGGACGTTATTCCCAGAAGATCATTATTCAATATGGTATTTTTAAGTTTGATGATTGGGCCACAAAGCATCTTGTTTTACATTACCTTGATTGTTCTATCCATAGAAGCCGAGAGAAGCATGTGACTTCGTTCTTGTACAGGACACCACTGGATTTCATTAACAGGGCCGCTGTGTTTAGACATGTAAAATATTAAGCTTTTGGGGACTTCAGTTAATTTATACTTGGATCCCAAATATGGTTTAATTAATTCAGAGATCTTTCTCGATCCTGATATGCTTAGCTTAACATCACAATCTGAGCTCGCTCTCTGATCAGATTCTTTTTTTTCAGGTATACTGGAATTTTCTTGACGCAACCTTTTAGGGATATATGGTCTAATTCCTTTTAAGGCAGTAGTACTGTCTTTATGTATTCTTTTCTGGGAAATGCCATTTCCAGAGTTTGTTGAAGAGCTTGATGTCTGTTTGTAGTTTTTGTAGGACATACATAATGAGGTATGGCCAGAGTATGCTCTCCTACAGTAAGGAGATGTCAAATCAGTGTTGTTATTCTGTGCATAATACTCAGGGGGATCTTCACAAATAGTGCTTGTGCCAGAACTGTCAGTGTTCTCAGTAGGCTGCATTTCATATGTAGATTTTGTACCCATACTACCAGGTGCAAAGTACTGAACACCATCCACAGAAGAACTTGGAAGGCTTGTTTGGCTGCTAGAAGCATTGGGGACTTCAGTCTTTTCAGTTTCTGCCTCAGAGTCTGAATCATCGTAAGCAACCAGTGACGAACTCATTATGGCTAGACACAGCAGACTCCAGAAATCTCAGTGCTGGAATCCTCCAAAATGATGATCTACAATAAAGAATTGGTTATTCAGAGCACAATTTATTACGGAGTCTACAATCTGAGCAACTTAAGGATATATATATGCTTTTCTTAAAAAAGAAAAAAATATCCGTAACTTTTATTCCAATTTATTAATGGAATTTATTCCTCTATTATAACACATCTGTACATTCAATTATGCAAGACCATTTGCCTCCAAGCACTTTGCGTACATTTTTAATGCACTGCAGAGATGCATTTGCATACCACAAAACATTGAAAATGAGCATTAAAAGGAAAACAAACTTGCAACATAAGCACTGCAAATCACTTTAACCTTACTTGCAGTAGCACTTCCCCACACACACATAAGAGTAATTAATTATGCAGTGTTTTGGTATGTACATTTATAAGAATACAAATACTACAACTATTTTGGAGCCAGTCTAATAATATCTACTTCTTAACAGTACAGATGACATGAAAGAAGTATGAAGGGGTTCAACTGGCAACTAAAAAAGTAAATACATTTTTGACCCATTCAGCAGTCTTGCAGTATAAAGAAGTTTTCCAACGATATCCACAGAGCAAGTTCCACACAGCCTTTAGTTTTACAAAACAGGCTTATGCCAGAAGCTACATTGAATTCACTGTTTGCATTTACTTACAGAAAAATAAGAGCACAGATACCTTGTTTACTGTGGAATACTGTTTCAAAGTGTTTTTCAAAGAAATCCCATGCTGAGACTGCATATGTAACATGCTGAATAACTCACCACCATAACGATCCCACCAAGCATCTTCCAAAAATTTGGACAGAGCATGTGGAGTGTATATATATATATGTATGTATATATACTCCACTATATGTGGAGTATAGGGTTAACTACATTCAAACAAGTGATATGTCTGCAAAAATAATCTTTCAAACTCTGCCGTTTATAGTCAAAAAGTACTGCTGTCCTTCAAGTGCTAAGATTGATTAAATGGGACATTTTATTCCTGCTTTGTTTCTTTCCCAGTTGTTAGCAGTCACATGCTAAAGTGATTTAACCAACAACACTTTCATATCAGCTGCTGAAATTCTTTGTTTAGGTCAGTGAAGAAGCTGCCCTCAAAAGCAGCGTGATTAAAATGAGAATGCCGTATGGAAGTCGGTATCCATGTAAGCATTTGAAGACCTGATGCCACAAATGTAGGTCCTACAAATACTACTGCAGGAGTACTACACTGGAACTTGTAAAGATTACTCATTTAACTTCAGAATTAGATCTATTTGAATTAAAGCAAGCATGTCTCATTTAACCCTCAGAAGTGTTACATTACAGGCTATGGTCTGTATTCTGTAATGAAGTTTCCAAGCACAGATACAGAAGACAGGTTCCTACTAAGACATATGCATTCATCCCCACAGATCCTTTCGAAGACAAGTGATCAAGATGTTTAACTGGAACAAGGTGACTAACATTTTAGCACATAAAAGCACCAAGATCTCCCTCTAGAGGACATTTTGTCTTTATCTGAAGTTTATGACACCTATAAGTGAGAGCAACTAAGAGGAAGGAAATTTTTTTTTTTTTTTAATAATACAGCTTCAGTTATTAAAATGGCATTTCACTTAAACAGTGTCAAGGAAAGAAATTAAGTATTGTTTCAGGAAAACTTAACTAACAATTCAATTTGAAAACAGTAAATTGACCTTTTTTAGCAGTAAACTGAAACCTCTTATCAAATAAATAGTAACTTTAAAGGAGTGCACTAGAATAATTGCAACAAGTGTTACTATTTGTATTGCATTGCTGAAAACAGGCCCCAGCCAAAATGCATCATGTTCAAAGAACAAATACAGTAAGAAGTTGACCTCTGGCTGAAAGCTATAAATGAAAATACACAAGTAGATTAGGTTAGACTTTCAAAGTTACTTTGCTTTTAACACAAAAAAAATTAAGCTGAGATTCAGAGGTAAGTGCAAGACGGTGCCTTGCACACGCCAGGTTAAAAAGGTTTCCTATGGGATACTGGAAAGAAACTGCCCCATTATATTTGGTCAGCATAAATCCATCCCATCACACACATCACCCATAAGCCTTAGTATTTTTGTTAAAACCAAGCATCTCTGTCATCTTAAGACTTCCCATTCAACTTCTGTTTTTAAAGAAACACCAGCCCAAAGTTTCTAAGGCTGCCCTAACTAAAGAAAAATGCAGGGAAAAAAAACACAATGTACTTCATGGGAAACATACTGTAACTAGACTGTGAATTTATTAACGATATGATTTTGAATGGAGTTAAGTCCAGTTGGCGACCGGTCACAAGCGGTGCTCCCCAGGGCTCTGCTTTGGGGCCAGCCTTGTTTAATATCTTTACCGATGATCTCAATGAGGGGATTGAGTGCACCCTCAGTAAGTTT